AAGTGGAACGGTCAAGTCCGTTTTGCGAATAGTTTCTGCTCATAACTAGTGAGGGCCCTCTGATGTGAAAATTGCCTAAACTTCGCATGTTTCTTTTTTCCTTAACAGAAACTCTAGTTCATATTAATTTAGAAGCGTAACGAACCTGAATAGTGTAATTGTTTGCGTTTACTTATATATAGGCTGAATATTAATGATATGTATATATTATTTGCTGCAAATATAGTCAAGAATTGCTTGTAACTTGCTTCAAAGGTCCAAGGTGAGAATTCGAAGTCCGTCAATCGATGCGGAATATTGCTTAGAATAATTGTGCCAAGTTTCATTCCGATCAAACAAGTAATGCTAGAGCCTTAGGGTTTTTAATATAAGACAAAATAAGAATAAAAGGAAGTGAAAAATAAGACAAAAGGAAGCGAAAAAAACTAGAAATACAGTGAACGAAATTCTATTTAAACAACAGCCTATTTTCTCGCTTTTATCGTTACTATTAACTACCTCTACAATGTTTACATCTTCACAAATTCACATCTTCTTACAAGCCTCATAAAGACTATATTAACTACATCTATAATGTCTACATCTTCACAAGTTCACATCTTCTCGCAAGCCTCATAAAGGCTATATTAACTACATCTACAATGTTTACATCTTCAAAAGTTCACATCTTCTCGCAAGCCTCATCAAGACTATTAACTACATTTACAATATTTAAATCTTCACAAGTTCACATCTTCTTGCAAGCCTCATAAAGACTATCAACTACATCTACAATGTTTTCATTACAACTAAAACTCTTCACGAGTGTTAGTTCATGCTACAGTCTAAATGTCGACAACAGCAAGACCACTGTTTAGCCAATGTATTCAATCAGAATGTAGTCATTTCAGTTGGCGGCGGTATGGTACGAGGAAGGCCAATTTGATTCCAGCGATTCTTGTAGAGATTCAGGGTTTTCTTGTTGAACAGGAATGCCATTCCAATGTATAATCCTTGTAGACAAGCAAAGACCACGAACAAGTATTCAAATACCACTTCTTCGGGAAACAGGACACCAAGGAACGCAAACAGCCAGGGAAAACCAACCAGCGATGCAAGTTTGACGCAGATTAGAAGATTTTGTTTTCCTTTCTTACGTTGTAAAATATCTCGGCTCTCATCATGACGAAGTAACAAATGAGCTGTTTTGATGAACGTGTAGATGTTGTAGAGAAGTGATATAGCCAGGGGTAATAAGAATACATACAAGATACCCTTTACAGTTCCCAACCAACAGTTTGTACCATAATCCACTGGGAATACTTTTGTTTTATCCAAGATGACACAGATTGCCACAAATATCGCTGGAATCAGCCACACGAATGCAGAATACTTGATAAATCTTCGCCAAGACGTGTTGAAATGTCTTCCATCGAATGGTCGAGAAAAAACGAGGAAGGAATGATATGAAATGACGGACATTGCCAGAAATGATCCCAGGAAAAGATAGTGTTCCAATATTGCGAAAACTTTACACGCTGTTGTCCCTGTGAAATGACTGGTCCCTATCAACCATATGAGATCTGACAACAACATCGAGATGCTTAAGTTCATTAAATTCATTCCTGGAACAGTTCTTAATTCTCGGAACAATCCGTAAGTTACCAGAAGTAGTGTCAGACAAATAATGGAGACAATGAAACCAACTAATGTGAGAACTTTTAGTCCATAACTTGTCGTGATTGTGTCGTATTTTGTCACGGTTTTATTGAAACTATTCTTGAACGATAAACAAACAGCAATGGTTGACTTTATACGCCGGGTAGCATTTTCAGTTCTGTTAAAAATGTTGTTGTTTTCGTTTTCAGTAATTACGTAGTCACCAAAATTGAATACTTTCTTTGTCGCGTTGTAATAAAGGGACAAATTTGGGAAGATCACGAATTCGTTTGGTCTTAAAATCACGTAAGCACCTTCTCTACAATCTGGAAAGAGCAGTTTAGGACATAATGTAATATTTCCATCTTCTTTTTTTTTAGTAATATAATCCTCCAACAAAAGTACCTTTCCTGTCTCAATTACAAGAAAATTTCCATTCTTCTCATCGATTTTGTATTCGTGTGATTGAAACTTCTCTCCGCCGTAGCACGAAAGCTGTTTCGAAATAACTTTGTAGACTAGAAAACTTCGATCTTCACATGTTACGCTGAAATTTCCTGTGAAATTGAAAAGTTTCAAGAATGCAGTGTTTTTATCTGTTGTATTAAAGATAGACTTTTGTTGATTAGCCTTTACTAAGGTTTGAAATGGCGTCAATGTTAAGTGAAATGTTGCAACGTGCTTTTTACGTGTTATTCGTCCATATTCTTGCTTTTGGAATGAAAGATTTGCGATTTGGTTGCGCCCAAGCATAAACTCTGAAGTTAAAGCTTGCATGAAACATAGATTTAAATTATCAGGGTCGTAAAAAGGTATTTTGAACCACGATATTATCAAATATTCGTTCGTTAGCCCGCCACGGGAAGAAGTAATGGTAAACGCCTTTCTACAAAAGAGTAAGTTGGTATCGTAGACCGTACCGGGTGAGCACAATCTCCGTGTGATTACTGAGGTACCAGCCAATCCACCCGCTTTTCTCAGATTAAAAACAATCGAGAAGGGAAATGCACCAGAATTGTAAATTAAAAGCAACTGGTAAGACATTAACTGTCGGCCATTACAGCGTGCACATACATCGTTCTTAAAGAATGAACCATAGGCTGCCACTACTTCCACCGGGCCTTTAAGGCAAGCCTTGCGCAAGGACATGTTAACATTTATCGGATCACAATTGCCGATATAATTCTTTCCAAAGCACCATCTTGTAGGTTCCAACTGGGGAAGAATATTCTTAATCATCCCTCCATTTTCCTCTACAAACTTCAGTCTAGCATTAAGGTCGGATTTCTCAGGCGGTACGATGTACGTTTCCGTTTCAACTATGATACTCCACGACGTGTAATCCTTCACCCCATTACACAAGGCACAGTATTTGTTCCGATATGTCCGAAAATTCGCTCCAACAACAGGAAGGTAGTTTTCCACGGGGTAAGAGAATTTCGATGGGGCGTTCTCACATCTTATCCTCGACTCGTTAAATTGCCAGTTTATTGGACATTGAGAAATCATCCATACACCAGTCGCACCCACAATAGTATACCCTTTCCAGGATGTCGCTCTCAAGGACTCGACACATGTCCACAATGAAACCGTCCAATTTCCTGGCGATTGTTGTCGTCCGCAATATTTCTCGTAGTCAGGACAGCAATCATGGAATATTTTATAGCAAGACTCATCGCAGTAGCAACCAGGGTCCGTAGAGGCCTCGAATAATGTCCTATTCTTAGTGCATTGGGAGAGGTGACAGCTTCTACGATAATCAAAAACGCTCTGTCTTTTTTCACGATCGTAAATTTGCTTCAAAGTACTAGACTCGTTTCTCGGTCTTCTTGTGTGATTACAAATCCTTCTCAAAGTATTGAGGCGTTCGGCTTGAACATGTTGAACTGTCAATCCAGCGTTGAAAAGCCAACATGTCATTAAGAAGAAGCTCGCACAATTGTTTGACTTCATTGGCGGATGCGTTCTTGGTAATTCTTTTTCTAAATAAGGCTATATTCTGGAACCACGCAAAGCATACGTTTCAACAAGCGTTTCAACAACACACCTGCACGGTTGACAATTATTCTTTCATTTGAAAGTTAGGTTTACTTAGGCTAAGTGCAGTAAATACGAAATATGCAAATATTTGAAAAAAGTGGCATCATTTAAAAATTGTAATAGTTCTGTTAGGGTAGATAGTTGTTGCACGTTCTCAATTAGTTTTTAATGCCAACGTGAGCAAATTACCTTCCGTATTTTTCTAAAAGCGGTTTATATTAGATAAAACGCGACTCGAAAACATTTAAGTTCAGGCAAAGAACACAGAAGCTACCCATTGTAATGTACACAGTCGTAATATCACAATGCGTGACACGGTTAAGAGAGGGGGGAAGAAACAAATTCATATCCTGAATGCTGAGCTGACGTAGCTGAAATTCCAAATGCGTGTTGTTGGCATAGGAATTTGTTATATGCAAAAAGTTATTTGCAAGACTGCAGCAGTTACTGCTTTATTTTCTTTTCAATTTTCTCATTTTCGAACCGTACAATTCCATGAAATTGAGTAAATTTGCATGAAATTGGCACGCTTGCTCCTGATTGGTTAGACACCCACTCAAACGAACAACCATTGTTTTTTGAGAATCGACAGGGGCAGTGCTTAATATTTAATTATCAATAATATTAAAGGCACCGAAAAAACCCTTTTAAAGTTCAATGTTTAAAGTTCATTCGCTTGGAATTGTTTTTTATTATGTAGAAAAACGATCATGTAAGGTTGAAACTTACAGGTTGAGGCTTTTTTTCATTTCAATTTTCACTCCAAAGTATGGGAGAACATGAAACGAAATGGGGTGACTGTGACGAGCAATGCATGGCGGCCTTTAATTTGGCTTCAAAGACAAAGTGGCGGCGGAGTTATCGACTTATCGTTCCAGTCTTTTTTGAGTTCACTGGGTTTGCGCTAACCGTAGGTTAATTTTAATCTGCTGTTTATCTCCCGCTGCACCAGTGTTCGGTTTAAAACCTTACAAAACGAGACTTTTATTAATTTAGTAAACATTTATGAGAAACATCAACCTCGCAGGCCAGGAGAAACATATTCAACTTTATAAATGATGTAGCGTCAACCTAGGCTAGAGTTGAACTGTCGACCGGCTTACCAAGGCCTAATTCTAATAGTTGCTGTAATTAAAACAGCCTTTTCGAAGTGTCTGTAACAATGGTGGTGTTGGTTCTATCACTTGTATAGCTAAAGGAAAACATAAGAGGTTTTTTATCGCAGAAGTAAACTTAGCATGGAATGCGCACAAAATAGCAGATTATCACGTCAAATGCAAGAAAAAATATACAAAGACAACTAGACAAGCCATAAACGGTTTTGGATTTTAATTTTGTTCATCGGTTTTTTACAATAGAATCATTTTACATCATTTACTTTGACAGAATTATCTCTGCCACTAAACACTATCATCCACACATCGCGAAAACAACTTCCAGAAGCCATATCATATATCTGAGAAGATATTTAATCCTCGACGGATTATTTTGGAAAGCTGATTACAACCAACGCATGCTGTGGCCCGCGAGTTGTTTTCGTGTTGAGCGGAGAAAAAACCGTTCAAGAATTATATTAGCACATCTTTTACGGTTTTTGATCAATTAAACATTTTTGTTCCCATTGGCATTGCTGTCTGCAGGCTACAATGGGTTATATTTTTGCCTCTAGATCGGCTGTTGTTACGTCTTTAATCGATACAATAGACGCAGTCAAGTGATAACGAGGAACTAAGGGCCTCCACAGACTATAGGGATTTAGTTGTCGACAACTATTTGAGATCGACAACTAAAAGTTATCGCCAACTAAAAAACGTAGTCTGTCGCGCAAGTTGTCGGCAACTAAAATCTAAATTATTAGTTGTCGACAATTAAGCAGTTTTCCTTTTCGAAAAGGCAAACTGCGTAGTTGACGGTTATTTCGGTTGCTAAGTCAGTTATATTTGAGCGCCAGTGTGTGGAATCCGTTATCGGACTTATTTAAGACTTTGTGTGAAAAACGGAAGCCAATTTAGTGTAGTTTTTATATTTGCTACATTAAAATCTTAGCAACATTCACTCTGGAACTTTTCTTTGCAACGCTGACTTTGCAACACAAAAAAGACCTAGGCTATAATTACTGCACATATTGCTTACGGTGTTGTAAAAAAATATCTCGACTCATTTTTAGAAAAAAAAAACCGGGTATACATGCAAATGTAGAAGGTAGCGTACACACAAATTCCAAGCGTTTTGAAATGAACGCTACACCAACTTATTCTCAAAAACCACGTATTCTTTAAAAAATCGAATTTTACTACTCAAACACTACGATTAATTAAAGTCGTTTGAAGAATACCGTCCCTAAGTTTTTTTTATCCAAGCTTTTTCAAGTAACCAGGATCAATATGTTTAGATTCTAGATTTCTATTGTGATATGTTCTTCCATTGTGGTGCTATACCAAAAAGTGAGTGCGACCTTTCATGCCCGTTTGCACTTTGCAGTTAAAGCGTTTTTTGCTAAAGCCATCCACAATACTAATATTTACATGTTTTTACTAATTCCTAATGGTTTCAAGGAGCTTTTGCTGAACAATTGGTGCTCGCCGAGGGTGAAAACCATACTATACTACATAGTACATGAAAGGCTACCTCCAATACGCCTTGGAAAATGAAATTCCTGCGTTCAAATTTTGTACATGACGGGCAAGCCATTGGTTTAACCGAAAGCCCCGAGATTACGTTTTCTGGTAGCCTTTCATCTATTGTAGTACAGCGATAAAACTGTTAACATTGGTTACCCTGATCAAAACAGGGTATAACCATTGCTGTCAGGGTTCAAAGCACTAGAGATTCAAAAGAATTCACTTTTCAATGTTTTTCAATGTTAAAAACCCTGTTTAGAACCTTCCTCAATATCTAATTCATGATTCACTGTTTTCATCAACTGGGAACAACTGTTCCGCAAACCATTGAATTGGGTGCTTTTTTAAAAGGGGGTGTGCAATCGCCAATTTGGCTTGCTGATAGGCAGTGATCTGAAAACTAGCAGCTAGTACATGCTGACGTTTGCGACATTTTGATTTGAATCAGCAAAACATGTGTCCGCATTTTCAATTCGGCTTTGGGGAAAGTAAACATGGTCAAAAATCCAATTTCATAAGAGGATACATCTATCCAGTGCTAGTTTTCAGACTGATACCGAAAGGTAACGGGTATATTTATTTTTTTTTGGAGATTTTCAATTCGCGTGAAACCTTTAAAAGGCCGTGCGCCAAACAACATAGACTATTATGGTACACACATTCTTCATCTGTCATACTGTTGTACTTGATGAGCTTGCCCCACTACCACCTGCCGCTGGCTTGCTTGGCTTAGGGCTCACGTGTTTGATATGCCTCTAGAGGATTAAAAAAATGGATTGACGGTTATCCAGAGCGCGGCGACTTCCTTTCTAGCTGGCGAAAGGTGCATTATTACTATTACCAAAAACCTGATTAGGAAAATTGATTATGCAATAGTCACAGGTTATTGAATATTTCTGATGACTTTCCAGGAACAGAAATAGGATTGTAGTATGATAATGATTACATGAAGTATCTCACCCCGGTTGGCGGAGAGGTTCCCATGGTTGGCAGACTTTGCGACGCCAGACTGCTTGTGGACGAGTGGAGACTGGAGCGAGGTGACGAGGAGGAGAAACCAAATGCTAAACAACCAACTAGAACAATATTAAGGTACGTTCATGATAAAATTTTATCTACAAACATCCTTAGTTTTTACGGTGATACATTTTTGTCCAGAAATTAAAGCAATGGAAAATTAATTTTAAAAGAAGTATAAAGTTGATTATGAATTACTTCACCTAAAAATATTCTCACTGACCTGGTGATAAGGACCTCGTCCTTTCGCGATGTCCACTATAGCTTGTGTTGTACTCATTGAAATGTCTAAAAATGATAAAGGTCTATGAGTTGAGGCAATTATTAATTGCAATGGATCTTTCCTCTATAAAGTAGTACAGAACCTCTCATCCTCCATTTCTAAACTGGACTCGCTCTCCGACAACTGTCTTCCTAAGTTTTCTCTTCTTTCTTGTTCCAACAACAACCGTCTTTGAAGACGAATATTTTCTTCCTTGATTTGTCTTTCTTCTTTCTCAAGCGCGGCCATCTTTTCGACATCTGTAAAAAGCATGCAAGGCTCGGTGATCTCTTAATACAACTGGAACGATCCCTCAGACGGGGGGGGAAGGGGTTTGATAAAGCCAGTGCTTTAAAATAGGTTTCTGAATTTTGAGAAGAAATATTCAGTGTGCAAAACTATTCGAAAGATTCAGAAATTATTTGGCTTAAGAAATTTCAAGACTTATACTATTTTGAAAGGTCAGGCGACAGGCATACAGCGGTAGTATACTTACGTTCTTTCTCTGAAGCAAGCAGTTGACCTCGTAGCCTTTTCACTTCGTCTCTGAGGGACTTAATTTTGGAGGTCATTGTTTTAATGGTGATGTCATTTGGATCATCTAGCTCCTTGGGTGAGGGTGGTTCTGATACGGGCTCTTCTAATCTCTCTTGAAGATTTCTTTTCCCAAAAGAGGAAGAAAATTATAGTTTTGGTCAATAACTCAATGTAGCATGACAAGAGTGCACGCCCTGCAGCATCTGACAGTGAAGTTTTAAATTTTGTAAAACGCTTTGCAAACTTTGTCAGAACAACGTGTCTGGTGGAAAGCTGTGAGTTGTACCACAAGCTGATATCCTGGGGGTGCCCCTCTAGAAAATCCCACCCTCCAAATCAGCACCACAAAAGGCTGAATTAAGAAGTAATTTTATATTCTTATTTCTATACCGTTTTTGACATGGTTTCCGCTGGTAGTGGATTCAGACAGTACATTTTTCTTTGATGAAAAACACTTTAAAGTCGTTGGAATTTGAGGAGGTTCCTGACTATTGACTGTACTGCTGATCACTACTATGGTGATATAGTTTGTTTCAAGTCACTCCTAAGCCCAGTCTGCACTAGCAAATAGCCTGGATGTACTTCTCCTTACCTTTTCTGTGATTCCAACCTCTCCATTTTCTTCCAAAGCCTGTTCACAAGAGATTCCTGCTCTTGTTCCAAAGTGTTCTCAAGGTCTACTTTTTCTTTCCTCAACTACAGTATAAACACACAAAACAATTCTGAACTGCTTTGCTTTCAACAGAAATTATTCAACATTATTCAGCAGAAATGTGGAATCAACAATTGTTATATCCTAGTCTAGATGTTAATGATTTATGGACAACACTGGTCACTTACCTGTTCAAGGCAGCTTTGCTTTGAGACAACATCAGCCTCTAGTCTTTCAATCTTCCTCATCAGTGTGTTCACTTGGAATTCTTGTTCTTGCTCAAGAGTTTGTTCCAACTGAAATTTCTCCTGCCTCAACTGAGGAAAAAATTATTCAAAAAAAAACATTCACTTCATTATATCTTTGCTATGTGTATGTAACTTCTCCAGATATTGTATTGGTTTATTGAGAGATTTATCTTACATAAAATTGCAAGAAAAATACTTGTATAGTGTAATACAGTATAGTAACTTTTATGAACAGTAGACGGGTCTGTAGTTTATGGTGGACAAGTGCCAACTGGGGGCCCAGGAGAAATTTATGAGTATGGATTCCTTGCTGGGCCCAATGACAGGCAATAGAAACCCTCAAGATAGAGTACATATTTCTAAGCTAAGGCCTCTTATGAGCACTGGGTACATATTTCTCTCCCACCTGACCCTTAGGCAACTTTAATTGCACATAGATTTTTGATTTGAGAATGCTGTCACATTGAATAGGATGCTTCAGGGAGCAACATACTTGCATCAATTTCCTGGACAAGTCATTTGTCAGGAATTCCTCTTCCTGCTCATAATTCATGGCCAAGGATTCCTTTTCTTTCTTCAACGATTGAATTTTTTTCATCAATGTGTTGGATATGAATTCCTCTTCTTGTTCGGCCTTTGCTTGCTAATGAAGGAATACACCATAATACAAAATGTTTTAATTTACACTCCATTGTACTAAAAACAATTATGTAAACGACTTTGTTATTGTTCCAAAGTGTTCAAAATGAGAATGTTCAAAGTCAGAAATGGCCAAGTAAGAGAGTTCTCAATTACCTGGAGCAAATAGCCAAAATGCTATGTGTTACCAAGGCTAAAAATTCTTAAACTTAAGTGGTATGTACTGTACTTGGTTTCACAAATAGACTCACATGGTGAAAGTAAAAATAGAAACCACTTCAATGGTTAAATGCAAAATACATTTTAGGCTGTTCAAGATGGGCTTGGAAAAGATCAAATAGGCTTTGAAAATGTCATATCTGTCATCTATCACCATGGTTTAGAAACAAATGCAAGAGAATTAGCTGTCAAAAACATGTGTCTAAAGGTCTTTTGCACAGCGTAATTTGTTTATATATAATAGTGGATTGTTATGGTTGATGCTGGTATTGTGCTGAAATTTTGGCAGTTTCTTAATATATGAACAAAGTAAAACATTAACAATTGGCTTCCGGTTAGAAACAGAGTTATTCTAGCAAACAGAGTTATTACTAGCAAACTTCCACAGTGATGCTTGCCCCACATATATATAATTCAAGCATCAATTTATACTGTGCATCTGAAATGAATTAGCCCAACAGGTCATTTTGTGCATAGTTTCCCTGAACTTGTTCAGATTTGGATCAGGATTAATTTGCCATATTGTATTAGTTGCCATGGCAGCTTTGCCCAACAGCAAGTAATTAATGGATTTATTCCGTCATTACTTAAAGGGCTTTTAGATAGTATTGTACTCAGTTGATGGGGACGAACAATGCATGATTAGAAATATGTGGCCTAAAATCAATATTGAATTTATTATTTATAAAATAATTACTAAAATTCCAATGTGATATTGTGCGAAAGTCTAAGCAAAACTAAAGGAACGATCAAATTTTCCATGTTTTCAAGTTGAAAACAATAGAATGAACTTTATTTATATAAGACAGGATACTTGTATAGATGTTCGATATGAAGGAGATAAGAAGCATCTAGGTCTGGACTTGTGCCACGCTCTTCAAGATATCATCAACTGACTCTGATAAGCTATTCTCCAACTTAGTGGGTAACGTTTTTCAAGAGGAATATTGCACATGCTGGTTTGCATGCATGTATAGTCAAAGTAAATTTGGTTACACATGGAATAGGTTAAAAGGTTTCAGTAAAACTGACTGGAAATTGCATTATTTGATGGCATTCATTCATGACTTTTCTTTCATAAACTGCTGAAATTGCCTATTGCAAAATGTTTACAAACAGTGGCATAGACAGTTTGATGATTTTAGTAATCAAACTATGCAAATTTCAATTTATTATCATTACTTATTTCTATATAAATTAATTTTTTTCAAAGTTAATAATAGAATAATGAGACTAAATTGTCCAACTGGCTATTCTGAACAAATACAAATACAGACTGAACCTAGGTTGATGTTTTAACTGTAGTGAATACGATGGCTATAACCCACAGTTGCCAAACTGAAATATGCACCTGTACAAGTAATTAGTAGTTCACGAATACTAAATAGAAGTGTTTCTTCACCTGTTTGAAATTTACACAAAAGCTTTTGACATCCCTGATGAAGGCCCTCATGTCAAAATGGCAAAGAGTTTTTTTACAATATACTATGAACCAAAACTTTATACATAAAGTTCATAAAATATCCAGCCCTTCCGGAACCAAAACCCTTTGCAATGTAAACAATGAAATATCATATATGAAAGAAATTCATCATATTTGAGAGGCCAACTTCATATCTTTATTCATATCAAGCCAGTCTGCTTAAGTTAAATACACTGGAAAAGCAAGTATGTATAGAAGTATGTTGTTGGCTTGGATTTTAGTTATGAGAAAACACAGTGTTCCATTATATGGCTTGCATTTGCTTTTAACGGTTTTGTGGTTATATTCAGAACCGCACAGATTGATATGAACAGCCTTTCATTATCATGCATATCTTCTCAAGTATTTGTCAATCTTTGAAAAGCATTGTTTTTCTGAGCGAGTCGCGTTCAGTTGCTGTAAACATTTTTGGAGTGTTTCCCAGTCGAAAATCACAGACACAACAGAATGCGAACGGAAGAATCCCGTTTCAACCGATGGCAAGGTTTTTTTTCCTCTTGCTTAAAACTGCTGATCAGCAAATATTTGAAACATAATGTTGTTTCAACAGAACTAACGTGCTTCTAATATAACCCCCTTGCATATTTAATGCTATGATCTTCACGAAATTTTAACGATACCTTTGGGGCAACGTATTCAATCGTTAAAGCAAGTTCTGCTATTGAATATTCACTTTATTGTGAAGCCTTTCTAAGCCCTTAAAGGCCAAAGAAAATCCGATATACTTACGATAAACACGCTGGCTTTTCGAAGTGCTTTGTTTTCCTCCGCCAGAGTTTTGCATTTCAGCTTGTACGTCTCGAGTTCTACGGTTAAAACACGCTTTTCTTGTACCAAAGAAGCGATTCTGCTTTTATCCGCCGAGAGACTTTCGTCTGCGCTCATATCGCTGTCGCTAAAGCCAGAAGGCCCTTCTGAAGATTGATTTGGAGAGGAATTCTCCATGTTTTGCTTCTGTCCTTGTGCAAATATAGCTTTTCGTGATCTTGCACGCGCGAGTGACCTCGATCGCGTGCCTGGAAGAAGGGTATAACGGGGTATATGAGGTAGTATAGGGTATAAAACAAATCACGGAAAGGTGGTATTGGTGGATATCATTTGATGCGAATTTTCTATTACAGTGTTGAATAAATTAGCCAACATATTACCATAATCGTTTTCTTTCGTTCAAGCAAACAACTCGGATTTTTGTTTTTTGAAAATCGAGCAACATCCCTAGTGCATGAACGACGCTATCCTGCACGAAAAACATTTGGTATTTTTTCTATATTGTTTTATAAAGTGAAAGAACAATATTTTGAGAATACCGCGAATGCTTTTAAATTGGCCAATCAAATTGCATGTTTCACTGTAGTTATTATGTAAATAATAAATTCGTTTCGTCCAAGGTCGAGTACACCATGTTATTACCATGGAGGGTTATGGACGCCATAACGGAGGCCATGCTGGGCTATGGTGCGCTGTCGGCTGTGAAGTAAAAAAGTAGGCAAATTAGGAAACGTGATACACTTCAAGAGGGGTCACTTACAGTAACTACATGTATGACACTTTATTGACAGCTATAAAGCCTTCCACCAGGCCAATATATTGAATGAAGCGATATATGGATCTGAAATCCAGTGATGTGATTGGTTTGCGAAAAAATTCGCCGCGAAGAAGTAGAATCGCTTCCTAGCCTTTAACTGTTCGTGTGAAAAAAGTCGCCTAGTGGAAAACGGGCTTTATTCTTTTGTATTGGAGCAATTTGTTCCAGATGGTCGCAGTTGAGAGCTCCGAAACAAAAGTAAAATGTCGCTTCGCATATGCCTCCATAGGCCTCCTCAACGCTCCATAGCCCAGGTTATTCTTCCACCATATCCTTCCATAGACCTCCATAGGCCTCTGTTCCCCTCGTTGTAACTGAACATAAAATACACCATACAACCCATAGTGTACATTGCTGTACTATACTTTACATTGTTTGTACCTGGTTTCCCGAATCCCGCGCATTGAACTGTAAACAAACTGAAACGATAACTCAGGAGGGGGAGGGGGGGGGGTGGTGGAAATTGAAGCTAGTGCTTTTTACTTTTTATGAGTTTTGAGCTAAATGTTGAGCCGAATATGAAATTTAAGCTTAAAAAGTTAAATTTCGTGTAGAAATTTCGAGACTTTAGCTTAAAAGGGAAATATCTAAAAAATATTTGAAAATTTTTTCCGGTTACTAATTAATTGTTTTTTTTTTTAATATTTCCTGTGCAGTTTAAGTCTTGAAATTTTCACATAAAATATAACTTTTCGATACCTTCAATTTTACAGATGGCCAACGACTGGCATCAAATATTTCGTGTCAAAACTCAGAAAAACTCTTTTGGCTTCAAGCTGAATAGGGATGTTTGTCAGGAGTTATCGTTCCAGTTGTATAGAGTTCACTGATCCCGCGTTATAAAAATATTGTGCGTGAGAAATATAGTAAACCACGTGTACTGGATTGGAACATCAATCTTTTATTTTAATCATCGTTGCAAACAGTCCTTTATTTGCTCCTTCGAACTGATTCTCTGACGAAAATCTGTTGGTATTTTCATAGATACTAAAATGTCAGCTACCGCAGGAAAGGTAGGCAGCTATTGGGTCTGATTCGGGATGATTTTACAGCAGGATGTAGTCTTGAATTGTATTTGAACGTTGCAATATAACATTTAATGCCGATTGCATAATCCGGCATTTTCATGATAAATGTTTGCCACTTGACTAAATATAGCAATTACAATAACCTGGAGACTGGTTTTGCCTCGGGTTTTGCGACATCTAGTCACATCAGTTTGAAATAAACATTGATTTCAAATACGGGACCGAACATCCGTATAGACAAACTTGAAGTTGGGCGGAAAGCCTCAGAAAATTTTGTTTATTCGGGAGAATTTTTCAGATAGTATTTCTTGACAGATGACTCGTTCGTTACGCAGAGTTTATACACCCATAATCTTGATCAATGTCTGGTACAAATCAAGTTTTCTAAATCCTTTTTTCAGAAGAATACATTCAGACAGGAAGTCTTATAAATAAATGCATGGTTTAGTAGCTAAGGTATTAATTTGTCAGTACACTTTGATATTCCGGCAAACATTGTCTGACAATACAGAGAGAAACAGGACTGTACCAAGCGGGGGGTGCATAATTATGTATTTGTATTTGCTTTGAAAGTTAAAACAAAATCATTGGTCTAAGCAATTGGCCTTAGCCCATATTGTTCACAATTGTTATTATCATTGCACAATATTGTTCAATGTTGTTGACAAATTGGGACAATATGGGCAGCACAACATTGTTCAATGCTGTTAAACTGGGGGCACAGAGTTTTTAGAGTCATGTACATGTAAATTAAATGAAGTGATTAAAATAACCACATTGGAAACTAATGTTCAATGCTGTTAAACTGCGGGCACAGAGTTTTTAGTCATGTGCATTGATTGAAATACCAAAGTGGTTAAAATAATCGCATTAGAAACTAATGTTCAATGCTGTAAAATTGCGGGCACAGAGTTTTTAGTCATGTGCATTGATTGAAATACCAAAGTGGTTAAAATAATCGCATTAGAAACTAATGTTCAATGCTGTAAAACTGCGAGCAAAGAGTGTTTAGTCGTGTTGATTGAATAAAACAGGGGTGGCACCAGGAATTCCCCGACACAGGGGCTAAGGTCCCTGACAGGGAGGCTGGTTGTTATTTAACATGTAATTGTAGGAAGCACAGTTTTTGGTTTATTGCTACAGTCTCTTGCCTTAGATTTGGAGCGTATGTTTTGAAATTTGATTGCTCTAGATCTTTGGAAATTAACATTTCAGAGTCTTATCACAGACTTCTTCATGAAAATTTTTATGCCACAAACCATGTACAATGTAAAATAAAGTTAAATTTTGATACAGTTTATCTGTTTTATTTGGGAGAACTAAGAACAACAGAGGGCAACTCAATATCTCCTGTTCATTCCCGACAAATTGTAAAATTTTCCTCGGCAGGGAGGCTAGAGTTCCCCAACAAGGGGGGCACCACCCTTGGAATGAAATACTAAAGTGATTAAAATAACCACATTGGCAACCAATGTAGGCAAGTTATGCAAGGTGTATAATGAGTTAGAATTCATTAATTAAATGCATGGAATTAAAGTCTATCATGTTGGCACATATTTTTAAAATACATATTTCTCCCATTTTCGCAGGTAATTGAATGCAAAGCAGCTGTGGCCTGGGAAGCAAAACAACCACTTGCGATTGAAACAGTTGAGGTTGCCCCCCCTAAAGCAAAAGAAGTGCGTATTCACCTTGTTGCAACTGGTGTTTGTCACACCGATGCCTATACATGGAGTGGTGCTGATTCTGAGGGACGATTCCCATGTATCCTTGGTCACGAAGGAGGTGGCATTGTGGAGAGTGTTGGAGAAGGAGTGACCTCTCTTAAACCAGGTTGGTGTGGGTGGTAGCATACATGGACGTTTTGTGGGAGGGTGGTGCAGGGAGAGTGATAAACCTCACACTAAGAGGTTGAGAAAGGTTCTGCACATATTCCCCTGCAGTTAACATATTTTACAAACTTATTGCTAAAATGGTGATAAAGAAATACTATACATACAGGGAGAAAATTGGTTTTTATAATGGTGAACTTCATAGCTTTAAATTCATTCAATTGAAATTTCACTCAGCTTGTAGTTTCCACCAATATCCCTGCCAAAGTAAAAATAACAACACCCCCAGGCAGTGGCAGTAAATTAGAATTGAAGCTGTTACATCAAATCACGTAAAATCATGTAAATTCTGTCTTTTAGGCGATCATGTCATTCCCTGCTACATTCCTCAATGTCGTGAATGTAAATATTGTAAAAGTGAGAAAACCAATCTCTGTGTTGCCATCAGGTATGACCAATAATGATTCTACAATTAAGGAATCTGTGGGGATTTGGGGGTAGATTTCTACCACTGGGGTTGGTTGTATAAAGCCCGTTTAGCCTAAATGGCGGATAAGTCAAAATCAAATAACACTCTTACATCTCTCTTGAGCGAGTCAACTTGAATATTACGCACTGAATATGTAGCTGTAAACAGTAACTTTGTATTAAGGTTAAAAACATTTTGTTTGCTTTTTGAATAACACAAGAGACTTGATTTCTATTTTGAACTTATCCGTCGTTTAAGCTATACGGGCTTGATACAACCGGCCCCTGGACTCCATCCAAACTGGTTTCTGGTTTTAAACTAGTTTCAATTTTCAACGAAAGCAATTCAATTCAGGAAAGTTTCATACTTTCCAGGAGGATAAGCAGCAAATAATAAGTCTTTTTAAGTCTTTTAAGCTTTTAAATATCATGAAAATGGCTAAGTATGTTCATAGGCAGCCCAATCACCAATGGCGAATGGTTTTATTTGAAATAAAAATGTACACTTTGATGAAATTCACACATGTCATTTATTCACATGCTAATATGATTTACCTATTTTCTGTTACTTAATATTTACTTAAGTCGCCCCTTGTAAGTAACAAGATTTAAGTATATTAGCATGTAAATAAATGACATATATGTGTGAAATTGATCAAAGTGTACATTTTTACTTCAAATAAAACCATTCGCCATTGGGCTGCCTATGGTATGTTGTAAAAAGTGTACGTGTAGTGTTTGTAAAAAGAACTCATGCCATTAATGGCGGATCTGAATTACTGCTTCGTGAATCGTGAGGTGTATTTTTATACGTTTTTGGTGGGGAAAAAACGAAAGGAAGGAAAATTCTGGAAGAACCATCGACTGCAAGTCACAGTTTATACTTTAAAAGCTGGCCATAGTTTATCAAAAGTCTCGGAAAAAGAACCGAATAGTTTAAAATATTTCTTACTTGTTTTCTCCAAGAATTCAAAGACTTTCTTGACGAAACACAGCAGTCTTTTCCCTAATAATTCTGCCACAATTTCGGCTCTTTTCCGCCCTCAATTTTTCCAAATTCTCCTGCGTTTTTCTTATGACAATTTTAAAAGTTTAGTTTCCCTGTTTTTCCCGCCTTTTTTCGTCGACAAAATTCACCGTGCGTGGGTGGTACAGTCGCAGTTTGTCCAGTTTTTAAAAAAATCCCGGCAAGTTTTTTTTTTAAAAACAAAAGATATGGAAATTTAGGTTTTAGTATTATGAACATAAGATATTATGTATTTTGTCGATGAAATAAAGATGATTATGATGATAATAATTATTATAGTTACACAACGGGTCCAATGAAACCTAATTTCACTCAACCTTCTACCCGGGGTAAATATATTCTTGTAAATATTTTTTGGCAGGGCAACTCAAGGAAAGGGTGTGATGCCTGACGGCACAACAAGATTTAGATGCAAGGGACAAGACGTTTTTCACTTCATGGGTACCAGTACTTTCAGTGAGTACACGGTTCTTCCCGAGATTGCCGTCGCTAAGGTGAGAAATTTCAATACATTTCCGAATTTCCGATACACTCTATGCATCTTCTAACTAGTGAAAACAACTAGTATTGAGGCTATTTTTCGTTGGATTTCCTTGCTATTTTTAGTTGGGTGTTTTGTAAGAATCTTTATTCCCTTTAGATTTCTGAGGCTGCTCCCTTTGGAGAAAGTGTGTTTGCTTGGATGCGGCATTTCAACTGGATATGGTGCTGTTGTTAATACAGCTAAGGTTTGAAATTTCGTTTGTTTGGTGGGTAAATGGGTTCATTGCAGGCCAGGGGGTAGGGGGGGGGGGGGGCAAAATCGACAACTCCAGCTAATCGCGTCGTCGTAGGGCAATGGGAACTACTAGCAACTTGGGCTTCTAGACCGCCAATCTACAAGCTCAACATCAAACTATCACGAGCATTCTTCATTGCGAATTGAAAAATTATTTTGGTTTGTCACGCATGCAACACGTGCCATGCTGCACGTGCTGTGTTTCAGTTTTTTATTTCAGAATCATTCTCATTCAATAAATCAAATGTTTGATTTCTTCCGAGGATATTTCTGAAATTGTTCAGTTTTCCGGCACAGAACAACGAGAATACGTTGTTCATATAGCCAGTGGCATCGCCAGTCCAGAAAAGGCTGCGAGCGAAACAAGGCGGACTATAATTTAAACATTTAACTTTAAAAATGAGAGAAAACAATATTATTTGCAAAAAAAAAACAACTTTTTAAACTTATTATCTAAATACATAATAATATATAGCTACATTCGGTGTATATACCATACTATAGCTATATTATATTCGTAGCTATAAATTCGGTGTAACCATCATCCACCCCTGTGCATTTTCTCAGCGGATTTGAAATAATTTTGTTAGTGGTCTGGGAGATAACTGGGGGTACACGACTCTCCTAGTTCCCCTAAACGTCTACCCAATCTTGATAGCCAAATAATATAAGTGAGTATGTACAAAATAATAATTTTTACAAGATTCAGTAGCTCTTGTACAAGTTCAGGTTTATATAATATACCGTTTCGCGATTTTAAACAAGAACAGCTTTTGTGAAAAAATGACTGTATTTAAAATGGCTCAATTTACTTCCGGTTGGATTTCGCTGCAGTGGAATCGTGCTAAATCGTAGCAAAGCAATTTGTGTAGAAATATGACTATTGATCTGTGCGCGATAATTGAAGTAAATCGATTGTTCAAATTGAAACGCTTTAATTTTATTTTTTCTACAAAATTGCGACTAGTATCTTCGTGTAATATTTGTTATGGTGATGTTTGAAACTCGTACGTATCAGACTATATATTGCTATTCTCCCCGACGAAGTTTTTAATATTAAGTTTGAGGAGGTTGTACTTCTTCAATCACAATACGAGAGACTGATTCCCAACCAGTGTAACCATCTGCGAGAGTCCTGCTTCCACACCTGCCTATCCAGAACCCCACGCGTACATGACCTTTAGGAACCTGGTCACAGTATCCTTCAATATGGCGGTGACGATGAGGGTTGATTTGGCTTGACATAGCATAAAGAAGCCCTTCAATTGTCGCTGGTTTTGCACATTCTGCGCCATCAAATGTAAAATACCAACGATCGCAAGCACTGTCGCCGCGTGAACGTAAATTTCCTTCGTAAAACACACGGAGTGAGGTGTTGTCATATTTCTTGTTGAAAATACAGTTCTATGCACGTGAGAAGAGGTGTTACATTCAAATATTAATATATGTAAAATATTTAATTGTGTAATACGAAATAATGTTCGTACTTGCGTTGGAGATTTTAGCACAGATTTTTTATGTATTATCCAGAATCCGGAAATTTAGTCACAAACTTTATCATTTACCTGTATCAAGCCAGTGTTTTTATGAATCGTCTCTCTTCCAAACACATTGTTTCCAATTTGATTTCACAAGGTCTGCGTAATCGCACCCTTTCTCTCGAAGCTCTCCTTTCTCCCCAGGCTCCCCTTTTGCGCCAGTAAGACCACGTGGTCCTGGCAGGCCGTGAGTTCCTGGAACACCAGGGATACCTGGGATACCCGGAGAATTACAGGTCGTCTGTGAAGGCTAACAATAACGATAGTTTTTAATTTGACTGTATTTGACAAATATGTAGATGACTAAATGTAGATGTAGATGGCTCGTCCATGTAAGACAAACGCAACGTACCGAAGTGATTTTACCCGTTCATATCTATAACGAATCATTCTCACAACAACGTATTCACTATAGATTAAATTTCAAAGATATTAGATTGCTTGTGTTTCTTCACCATATATGGTTCGTTGTTACAAGAAGGGTATTAAGCTGGGTTATGCACGGAATTTTTAGCTATAGCTATTAACATTTTTAGATGGATATATATGTTGTTGGAATTTTGAATCATGCAAAATATATATTGTAGGGCATGCCTTAACAGTAACAACCTAAATTTTTGAAGGACCGACATAAACAAGTCGTAATTCAAGCAATTTCAACAAAGCAGTTTTGTTCAACCAACAGTGCTTTACAATGATAAAGGTCTGTTTACTGAATTGGAAGCTTTGCAAAGATTAATCTATCGTGATGTATCGTCAAGCATTCTCCGAAATACAAGACTAGAAGTTCTAGAATCTTAAGTAAAGCCCCATCAATTATGAATTGTTTTTGCAAAGACTTGATATAGCTACGTTAACTTTCGCTCTTCATTCGCTCATAACTATTTGTTCAGGCAAATCATGAACTATTGCTTCCGTTCTATAGAAAGATAATTTTTTAGGAATGCCCTACCGTGGCCCTGCCTCGGCTTCTGACGACTGTTATTTCAGCCACACAAACAAATAAGAAAATAATCTCTAACTTTTTCTTCATCTTGAAATATTTCGTTGTCATTCCTTGATGAAACTCTTCTTCCAGTGATCTGTCTGCCCTTTGTCCTACCAGTGCATACACTGTCTCATTTTAACGAATTCCAAGTTGTATTACGTCCCAACCCACATATGGTGAGAGTCTTGAGCAGTGGCAATGATGTGCGTCATATATTACCCTTGGCTACTGTGAAATCTTGAACGAGATGAGTGCATCAGAGGCGACCAGAAAGACAATTGTAGAGATTGTATGGTAAACTAAAGCTCTTCCTCAAATGAAAAGCTTTTTTTTTTAATCAACAGACCAATTGAAGAATAAATTCAGCCTAAAATTAAAGACAGTCGCTGTTATGAGGTCTTACTACGCTCGCGGTTTTGAAAAAAGTATCCCAAAAATGGCGGCATATTCGTCATCGTGAGAGAGGCTAATTCTAACTGGTATTACGCTTCGATCAGGCATGGTGGAAAGTACGGAGTGCGGAGTACGGAGTCGGAGTACTGTGGGAGGAATAACTAAAAATGGCAATAAGAGATATATGCATCATATTACCAGGAGTACCATAGGAATTAACGCCTATAAGCCACCTGACACCTCTTATACTTCCTATGTAATAAACACAATTATGTGACTGAAGCAAAAACCCGAAGATCAAAGTCATGCGATGATACTCTATTTTCTGTCGTGATTCTTGGCTTGCTTGGTATTATCGATATCTAGCACCCTCGTGCAATTGTGTGTTGCTTATACTTACTACGAAACGATCTAAACGCTTAAACATCAAAATCGAACGATCAACAGGTGCTGGACGCGTTCCGCTCACCTGGTGAGGACCTTAGGAAGACGTATGCTCATATTACCATTGTCGTCAGCGCTTTTTTATAGAACGCGGTTAAAATGTGCAAAAAATTGTCTTTTCACTTCGATCTGATAGACAAACTCTCAGACCATTATTGACCGCCAAGTGTTCTGATCAAAGAATCTTATATTTCATATCTATAATAGTTTGTTATTTCTTGGCGCGAACTCTTCATTTTGATGGGCTGTCGATAGTTGAAAGAGATTTACACCTGTAATTCTGTTTGGTCTCTTGAATGACAATACTCACTTTCAGTCTAGATCTTCTGCTATTTATATTCAGGCTTATGAAGCTTCGTGAGGCGATACTTCCCAATTCACAACAAGGCATCGCCTTCAAACCAGTATCCGAATCTCCCGGACCACTGTTCTCTCATCCTTTTTTATTCATCCAACAATCGTCTTCGCTATATTGAAGGCTACTGTAACGCTATTATTTAATTAGTGACGGTAGCTTTCGAAATAGCGGCGAAGATCGGGTCGACTTGAAACTATACCGTCGTTTGCTGCGTCAAATGTAAACCTTAATTAATTGAAAACACCGTGTCTTTGAGAATGTTCGTTCGTAAACGTAAAAGCAGTGGTGGCGTGTCACAATTCCATCTTAGTAGAACTTGCAGTGGCTAAAGTTGCGATTATCATCGCATTTTTAGTGGATTTTGTATAAAACCTTGACACATATGAAACTTTAGGCGTGTTGGTGACAGACAATGGGGTAAATTTCGTCATGTCACCCCTATGACTAAAGTAACCTTGAACGAGAAGGGTGCATTGAAGGGCACCAGAAGCCGCGCACGAAAATCACTGAGGATGGACATCATTAAACCCATGAAAGGAGTTAACACATGCAATGATACTTCGATATTTTACTCGTACTCGTCTTGCAATCGTTTCCTATTGATATCTATGGTTCCAATTTTACAAGGCGTCTTGTTATAAAATAAGTGAAAGATTCCTAGAAATGTATCAAATATCAAAAAAAGTTAAAAAGGCATCTATTTAGAAAGGAACATTTATTGATTTATTCATTGATTCTCTGCCTCAACGATCTATATTTATAACTTATTAGGTAACAATTCATGCAGATCAAATTTCACTCTCACATCTATACATTTTGCATAAAAAAACTGAACGATTAGGTCTATATTTTTAATATATAATATAAAATTTGATGTAATGTAATATAATCATTAGTTTGTATTAAGAGCAATCGTTTTAATTGTTTTAATTTCTTGGGACAAATTTTGAGAACATGCACGTCAATGGATAGGTATTTGACAAGTATAGTGCAAGACCTTATTGTGAGGTTATCAATATGCAATTGAGACATAAAAATACAAGTAATAGGCCTCTCATAACGACGCCAAACGTATCTAAAAAGCCACCTATACTTCGTGTAATATCAGTCTTTAATACCTTTTAAATGATTTATTGCTATAAAACTGACTCCTTTATTGATGTAGTTGCATATTTTAAGAGAAAACTCGTGGAGAACTTTGTATATATGACACTTTTACTATATGTATGTGCGGAATGGCCTCATGGTGAGGTTATGAAGATACGATTGGGACAAAAATAATACAAGCAATTCCTTTCATTTCTGACATGGTTTTATTGATATGAGATGGACTCTTCTACTGATGCAATCTCGTATATTTAAAGGCAAATTCCCACGAGATTTGCATATTTAACATTTTATTCTTTTTTTCCGTGTGCAAAAGTCAGACCTTTTTGGGAGGTTATATATATTTGGGAGGGGCTAAAGTTGCGATTATCATCGTATTTTCAGTGGATTTTGTACTAAACCACGGCTGAGTCATATATAATAAAACTTTGGAAATGCTGATGACAGACGATATATGGGGGAAGTCGTCATATTACCCCTATCACTGAAGTATCCCTAAGGGTGCATTACCAGATGCAAAAATATCGTCGAGGATGAACATCCATGAAAGGAGTTAACACATGCAATGATACTTCGATATTTTACTCGTACTCGTCTTACAATCGTTTCCTATCGATATCCTTTGTTCCGATGCAATTCTCATATGATGCTAAATTCAGCAGATAAAACTATACCGACAGTGCCTGAATGGACACGTCGTAGCGCCATATCGTAATTGAAGTGAAAAGGTATATCTATGAAGGCATCACTTTACATCTATTGTTGTCGTCTGCTGATGATGGACCGGATTTGAACTTTATACTACGCATAACATTGAGTTAACCTTTAACGTTAAGGACCATAGAATAGCACCAGCTGAGGCAATACAACAAAAATTATCAAAGTGGCACAATCAGGGGTCAGGTGTTGCGGCATTAAATAGATAAAAAACAACTTGTGGTCGTTTTGAGAATGAATATATTTAACATATACCGACAAGAGTCTCTTAGGCTTAGCAGGAGACCTTTGCGGTTTCTTTGCTTATTTTGATCAGTTGTAATTCGTCACTCCAATCATCGCAATCATAGTTTTTCGTGAGAAAGTTTCTAAGTTTGAGGAGGTGGTACTTCTTCAATCACAATACGAGACACTGATTTATAACCAGTGTCACCATTTCCGAGAGTACCTCCCGGACACCTGCCTATCCAGAACCCCACGCGTACATGACCTTTAGGAACCTGGTCACAGTATCCTTCAATATGGCGGTGACGATAAGGGTTTTCATTGGTTGATGCAAGATAAACAATCCCTTCAATTGTCGCAGGTTTTGTACATTCTGCGCCATCGAATGTAAAATACCATCGATTGCAGACACCACTGCCATAGGATTGTAATGTTCCTTCGTAAAAGACACGCAGTGAGGTGTTGTCATATTTCTTAGTGAAGATACAGTTCTATGAATATGAAGAAATAAGTTGTTTTTTTTGACATTTAATTACTAACCCGGGATCTATATTTGGGTGATAATTCCTGGATTTTGGACATGAGCATACTACCTATATTTGTGTCTCACTTAATCTCGGGCTATTAACTGCTGATCGTTTAATTTCTTGTAAACCTCTTGACCAGTACTTATCTAAATCTATGTTACTAATCCATCCATCCATACGTAATCCCTACTTTCATCATTATCTTAATCGTAGTAATTAAACGTAGTATTACCTGTATCAAACCAGTGTTTTTACCATCCCGCCTTTTCCACACGCACTGTTTCCAATTTGATCTTACCAGATTTACGTAATCGTATCCCTCCGCTCCGTATTTATCTACGTCACAGTTTTGTCTCCCAAGAGGGTTGGTGCACAACTCGAAATCTTTAAATTTGGCTAATTTTCCGATGCGCGATTTAATTTCGTTCACATGATACAGCAATTCATCCAAGAGGAACAAATATACAGTTCTTTTGATGCTGTTCGATTAGTTTAGATTTAATTCGGGTAAGAATATATTTAATACATGTAAATTCTGGTCCTATTTTAATAATATCGCTGCTATTTTGCCGTTTAATCAGATGTGGTCGTGTATGGGCGCGTTGACATGTCGCAGTTTGCACAGGATTGAAGATTTAATATAGCGAGAATTCCAAAGTGTAAGACAAAGCCATTGTATCATGCGGTTTCTTTACATTTTTGAACAATTGAACTTCTATACTTTTTAAAGTACGATGTGCTTCTGAATTTCGCGATCCAACGACATTTAGGTTCGCAAGGCATCTAAATGAGTATGAACTGTATTGTTTATGTTCAGAAGTTTTATATTGAAGACTGGCACGTACGCGGCACGCCAGAACAGGCGTCTTGTTATAAAATAAATGAAAGATTCCTAGAAGTGTATCAGATATCAAATACAGTTAAAAAGGCATCTATTTAGAAAGGAACATTTAAATCGTTCGTTAATTTGAATTCATGCCCTCTATGCCTCAACGATCTATTTAACTTATTAGGTAACAATTCATGCCGATCAAATTTCACTCTCACATCTATACATTTTGCATAAAAAAACTAATTTGTGATTGCTGTAAACTTCACAAAGCTCTTTGCTAAAATGGATTATTTTTGTGTTCTTTTAATAACATAAAATAAACGAGGAAAGTTAAATTGTCAACACTCGGGGAATATTTAAGTCATTATAAGAATGAGGTTTGTAGCAGAAAATATTTTATGTGCGATTAGGTCTATATTTTTAATATATAATGTCAAATTTGATGTAATGTAATATAATCATTAGTTTGTATTAAAGGGAAATAGCAATATATTTTTTTATTTTCTCATTTTAAAGAACTTTGAAAACTGTATTTAATTCTCTTTTACCGTTTTTTTATATGTTGCTTACTTCTACAAATATTTTGATCGAAAGGAATGAAATATCCGCCATCTTGGATAATTTTTGATCTCATTAACGGTAGTTTTGGTGACGTCACAACAGGGGTTGGCCATATAAAAGTATTCGTTGCTGGCCAAATATTGATTGGTAGATGTTTTAAAGGTGTTGAGTGATCTTGATATTTCGAAGAGCATACAGAGTATAGTTTTGAGTGCAAAATGATTGGTGGTTGTCGAGATAGAAGTATTGCGTGACCCATGTTGTGACGTAACTGTATATCTACAAAAATCCAAGATGGCGGATATTTCATTCTTTTCGATCAAAATATTTGTAGAAGTAAGCAAGATATAAAAAAACGGTAAAAGAGAATTAAATATAGTTTTCAAAGCTCTTTCAAATAAGAAAATAAACAAATATATTGCCATTTCCCTTTAAGGTGGCTCGGGACAGTTTTCAAGAATTCCATTGATCATCACTTTGACACGTTCGAACAACGCATTTTTGTGATTTATTCCAGAGATATTCGGGGTTTTATATATTTTGATGTCTCTACTTTTGAATCGTATTAGTTTTAGTAACAGATCGTCCGTTGCTATGGCGACATACGTGTACAAAATTCACTCCAAAATGGCCAATTGCCTCGGATAGTTGGAAAACAAGCACGGTGTCTCCCAATTTTTTTTTCGTTCATTATTTTACTTGGAAGAAAAACTAACAATTGGCAAAATATAAAAAAATTCTATTATGCCAAATTTTTGAAAAATGTAAAAATGAATTTTTTTCAATATTTTTTTTTGCCATTATAGAATTTTTTTATATTTTGCCAATTGTTAGTTTTTCTTCCAAGTAAAATAATGGACGAAAAAAAATTGGGGGTCACCGTGCTTGTTTTCCAACTATCCGAGGCAATTGGCCATTTTGGAGTGAATTTTGTACACGTATGTCGCCATAGCAACGGACGATTTGTTACTAAAACTAATACGATTCAAAAGCAGAAACTTCAAAATATTTAAAAACCTCAATATCTCTAGAATAAATCATAAAAATGTGTTGTTTGAACGTGTCAAAGTGATAACGATGGAATTTTTGAAAACTGTATCGAGCCACCTTAAGAGCAACCGTTTTAATTTCTTGGGACAATTTTTGAGAACACGTCAATGGATAGGCATTTGCAAGACAAGCGTAGTGCAAGTTTAGTGCAGGTTTCATAATATCCAAAGCCCCGTTTACAATACACTCAATTTATTGCCACGGCATAGCTAAAGTGGGTAGCTTTGTTTTGGTAGCTTGAGCATTAATAAAATGGGCACGGGAACCCATTTTAGCCATGCCGTGCCGATAAATTGAGTGTAGTGTAAACGGGGCTTAATTGTTTTCAAGCTTGTGGAGGTGGTACTTCTTCAATCACAATACGAGACACTGCGTTCCAACCAGTATAACCATCTCCGGCTCTACGACCTTCACATTTGCCTATCCAGAACCCCACACGTACATGACCTTTCGGAACCTGATCGCAGTATCCTTCGATATGGCGGTGACGATGAGGGTTTTCATTGGTTCCAACGGAAACAATCCCTTCAATTGTCGCTGGTTTTACACATTCTGCGCCATCAAATGTAAAATACCATCGATTGCAGACCTCACCGCCATAGGATCGGAATGTTCCTTCGTAAAACACACGAAGTGAGGTGTTGTCATATTTCTTGTTAAAGATACAGTTCTATGTGAGAAAAGTGAAAATATGTTACATTAATAAATGTAATAATAGCTATTCGGCAGTATGTAATATTTGTATGTCACAAGCTCCGTCGCAGGGCATTTCCACGTCGAAAGTAAGACCCTGGGTACGAGGTTGCGTATTTCATTGCAAATTTTAGCTTATGATTTTTGAGCCTAATTTTCCCTAAACATAGCCCGTTAAAACTATATAGTCTTCCTACTGTAATATAATGAAAAAATCTTCGGTCAACAATTTTTCAAAACCGTGTTAAATTACGAGATATGTACAACTTCATTCAAAAAGGGGAAAGTTCGTCCTTAACTAATATTTAAAACATAGCAATATTCCGTCAAGCGGGATTATATACTAAACCTCATCGTTTTACCTGTATTAAGCCAGCGTCTTTTTCATCCACCCTCTTCCAAACACATTGTTTCCAATTTGACTTCACAAGATTCACGTAATCGCATCCTTCCGCTCCAGACTCCCCTTTCGCTCCACGTTCTCCTTTTGCACCAGTGAGACCACGTGGTCCGGGCAGGCCATAATTTCCTGGAACACCAGGGATACCTGGGATACCTGGCGAATTACAGCTCGCTTGTAAAGGCTAACAACCAATAAAAATATATGAATCGATGAGAGTAATACAATTCATAAAGAGAAATATCTCGTTTATACTTGCGATTTTTGCTGCGATTTATGTACGATTTTCTTCTTTTGATAGACGAGTAATTAGTTACGAATGCTCTGATGTGTACGAGCTACTATTTAAACATCCGTAACTAATTCACTCGTTCACATCTATCAAAGGGAGAAAATCGCACATGAAATCGCAGCAAATATTTGCAGTGTAACGAGCTCTTAGACGAGTATGCTCATTAATTGGATTATCAAATTCAAATTTGTAATCAAAATATTACGAAGCAATGTTTAATAGCAAATACCTCAAACAATTAGGACATATAATTGCGGTATAATTTGACAATTAAGATTTAACAAACGGTAGTTGCAGGGATGAAGGTCTTGGTTGATGGATAAAATCAAATTTACGTGATGAATCCTCAAGAACCATTGCTCATTTAGCAATCGATAAGAAAAATTCTAAACTCAATTTAATTGCATCCATACTGAGTGTAGCAGCTATTTAAAAATATATTCTTTCAAGAGAACCTACCGCAGGTATAGTTTGACTCTTGACGACTGTTACCTCAGCCACACAAACAAATAAGAAGATAATCACGAACTTCATCTTCATCTTGAACAATGTTATCCAAATGAAACTCTTTTGCCAATGATCAGTCTTTCCTCTGCACTGCCAGTATATATACTGTCTGATTTCAATGAGTTCCAACTCGTATTACACTTCCGACCTATGCATGGTAAGAATGCTTATAGAAATAGTATCGGAGGATGTGCCGAGTGCATGGGATGCTTGTAATTCTTATGTCACACAAGTCACATATATCTCTATTTTTGTATGTTCCGTCTGGCATTGAAATAATGCAAGTAAGACACATATTTATAGAATATATAAATCAAAGAAAATAATTTTTTAATATTCCTGACTTTATTATATAACGGTAAACCTTACATGGTAACTATGGTATTAATCCTGTATTATGTGGTGAAAATAAGATATAATATGAGAAATTCCTTTAATTCCTGATATCATCCTCGTATGGTAGACCTTGTATGGTAACTATGGTATTAATCATGTATTATGTGATGAAAATAAGATATAATATGAGAAATTCTTTTAATTCCTGATATGATTCTCATATGGTAGACCTTGTATGGTAACTATGGTATTAATCATGTATTATGTGATGAAAATAAGATATAATATGAGAAATTCTTTTAATTCCTGATATGATTCTCATATGGTAGACCTTGTATGGTAACTATGGTATTAATCATGTATTATGTGATGAAAATAAGATATAATATGAGAAATTCTTTTAATTCCTGATATGATTCTCATATGGTAGACCTTGTATGGTAACTATGGTATTAATCATGTATTATGTGATGAAAAAAAGATATAATATGAGAAATTCTTTTAATTCCTGATATGATCCTCATACGACGGACTATGTATTAATATAATCTACAAAGGGTCCCAAAAAAAAATCAGCTCTATTAAAATCAAGCCTTTGTTAGAATCTGATTGCCTTAATATTATGATAAACCCAATTGAAATCAAGACGCTTTATTTGAATGCCTCAACCTAATAACTATGCTATTTACACACTACTGCGTTGATCATGCATTCAAATTCCAACAAAAGCTTCATTTCAATAGGGGGGACTTTTTTGGGGACACCCTGTATATTTAAAATCAGACTGACAGTAGGTTATTGTGATTAAAGTATATAAACAGAGCACAACAGCTACCACATGTGGCATGTTATTTCACGAGTTACCACATGTTACTTGAAGGGGCTGCTATACGCTGCCCCTAGTTATATTGGAAAGAAACGAATTTAACTTTATGCACGTAGGCCTAGAGCTTACTTAAAGGTATATATAGGGGGCCACGTTAAAAAATGATTTGACATCCTAACGAATGCGAACGTTACAGTCGTGTCAGTTTTACAAATATAACGCGTTTAAATTTTAATTCCTAACAAGAACATTCTAATCAAATCAAAGTGAAATATTCTGAAGGTCAATTTTAGACGAACTCTCGTCCTCAAGATGTTTAAAAGCAAGCAAACGCGTTGAGGTTTTTTCTTGTATGACATATAATTCTATTATTGTATGTGCAGAATGACCTTATTGTAAGGTTATCAATATGCAATTGAGACATAAAAATACTAGTAATCGGCCTTTCTCATAACGATGCCAAATGTATCTAAAAAGCCACCTATACTTCGTGTAATATCAGTCTTTAATGCCTTTTATATGGTTTATTGCTCTAAAACTGACTCCTATATGGATGTAGTTGCATATTTTAAGAGCAAACTCGTGGAGAACTTTGTATATATGACACTTTATTACTATATGTATGTGCGGAATGACCTCATGGTGAGGTTATGAAGATACGATCGGGACAAAAATAACACAAGCAATTCCTTTCATTTCTGACATGGTTTTATTGATATAAGATGGATTCTTCTACGGATGCAATCTCGTATATTTAAAGGCAAATTCCCACGAGATTTGCATATTTAACATTTTATTCTTTTTTTCCCGTGTGCAAAAGTCAGATCTTATTGAAAGGTTATATAGAGTTAAAATTAGAGCCCCAAAAATAATTGCAGGTTTTCTGATATGAAATTCCTGATATAGTGCGTAAACGACGAACCTTGTATGGTAATGAAAGAAATGCGTTAACTTGAGCAGAAATACGGAACGGTTTTATCCAAACCAGCAGTGCTAATGGATAGCCTTTGCAACATTTGATACATGCTTAACAGCCATATTTACCACAATAAGCCGAAGTAAGATCACTTTCCACTTTATATTCTGTCATTTTCGTAATTTTCACTAATCTTGAAATTCGTATTTTTAAACTACAACTCTTCTTGTTCTTAAATGATTAAGTTTATTAAATTTTAATAACTGTCAACGTTTCAATTTTTGTTTTTTACAAAATTGTGACCAGTATCTTACGTCTAATATTTGTTATGGTGATGTGTGAAACTCGTACTTATCAGACTAGATATTGCTATTCTCCTCGACGAAGTTTTTAATATTAAGTTTGAGGAGGTGGTACTTCTTCAATCACAATACGAGAGACTGAATGCCAACCAGTGTTACCATCTCCAACTCCTTGACTTGCACACCTGCCTATCCGGAATCCCACCCGTACAAGACCTTTAGGAACCTGGTCACAGAAGCCTTCGATATGGCGGGTACGAATAGGGTTGACGTGAGTTAATTTAACATAAACAACTCCTTCAATAGTCGCTGGTTTTGTACATTCTGCACCATCAAATGTAAAGTACCATCGATTGCAGACACTACTGCCATAGGATCGGAGTGTCCCTTCGTAAAACACACGAAGTGAGGTGTTGCCATATTTTTTGTTGAAGACACAGTTCTATATGAAAAAAAGCTAAAATAAGCATTTTTTACAGTTGAACACTAGCGAATAATATCTACTTTAGAACATACCCAACTGAGTTTAATCTATGAAAAATTTACGTTCAATTTTGGCGAAACTGTATCAAATTACCGGGATGTACAAATCTATTCTAAAAAGAAGTATACTTCTTCTTATACTTAAAAAACACTCCATCGTTTGAACTTTCATCACATATAACTGAATAGCTGAGTATACTGTATAGCTTGAAACATTCGTATATATAGCTGAATTTTAAAAGAAAGCATGGCTTTTGACAGGATTTTAAAGCTATGCATACCTGTGGTCCCATAACAACGTTAGGGAGTTTACGATTTCCGACGCCGCCAGCTTGACGACGCGCATGAAAAACAAAGAAACTCGACATGCGAGACAATAGGTATGCATAATGCGTAATTAATTTTCCATAGCTTATTTCAAGCAAAATAATGTGACTAGCGACGTCTCAGATCATAAACTCCCTAATTCTTGGATCCTTAAGGCTGTTTTCCACTTACGCGTTTTTCATACGCACGTTCACGCACGTGAAAGTCTAAATCCTTATACATGTTACCTCTGAAAAAACTAAGTGAATAAATCGAAGGAACTTAGTTTTCTGCATATTTTAGTATGCATTAGTTGACCTAGATGTTAAATAATAAAAATTTAAAAGCATTTTAAATTTTCCGTACGTGTACGTGCGTATAAAAAACGCGTAAGTGGAAAGCAACCTTAAATTTCAAAAATTTGATCGCCTATACTTACTTTAATGCGTAATCGTAGCTTTGCTTTGCACTACCCAATTTAAACGTTATGGTTTTACCTGTATCAAGCCAGTGTCTTTACCATCCTCCCTCTTCCAAACGCATTGTTTCCAATTTGACTTCACAAGATCTGCGTAATCGTATCCTTTTGCTCCAGACTCCCCTTTTGCTCCAGGCTCCCCTTTCTCTCCGGACCCCTCTTTCTCCCCAGGCTCCCCTTTCGCGCCAGTTAGACCACGCGGTCCGGGCAGGCCATGAGTTCCTGGAACACCAGGGATACCGGGGATACCTGGAGGATTACAGCTCGCTTGTAAAGGCTAACAACCAATAAAAATATGTGAATCGATGAGAGTAATGCAATTCATAAAGAGACATGGCTCGTTTACACTTGCGATTTTTGCTGCGATTTTATGTACGATTTTCTCCTTTTGATAGATGTGAACGAGTAATTAGCTACGAATGCTTTGATGTATAAGAGCTCCTATTTAAACATCCGTAACTAATTCACTCGTTCACATCTATCAAAAGGAGAAAATCGCACATAAAATCGCAGCAAAGATTGCAAGTGTAAACGAGCCTTAAGACTGGTATGCTCATTGGATTATCACATGGAAGAATATTCAAATTTGTAATCAAAATATTACGAAGCAAGGTTTAATAGTGATTACCTCAAACAATTAGGAGACATAAATGCGTTATTATTTAACAATTTAAATTTAACAAACGGTAGTTGCAGGGATGAAGGTCTTGGTTGACGGATAAAATCAAATTTACGTGATGAATCCTCAAGTGGATACTGATATTGTTGTTATCGCTACGCCTAACTTTGCAAGAACCATTGCTCATTTAGCGATGGATAAGAAAAATTCTAATTAATTGCATCCATACTGAGTGTAGCAGCTATTTAAAAATATATTCTTTCAAGAGATCGTACGTACCGTGGGTTTAGTTTGGCTTCTGACGACTGTTATCTCAGCCACACAAACAAGAAAATAATCACGAACTTCATCTTGAACAATGTTATCCAAATGAAACTCTTTTGCCAATGATCAGTCTTTCCTCTGCACTGCCAGTATATATACTGTCTGATTTCAATGAGTTGCAACTCGTATTACAATTCCGGTCGACGTATGGTAAGAATCCTTAGAAACAGTATTGACAGATGTGCTGGTGAGATGCTCTGTTCACACGATCCAAATTTTGTTGAATCCATTCCAATGCACTTCTGACGTATGGAATGTAGTCTGTTATTGGTAAAGCAGTACTGCATTTGGCTTCAGGGCACTTGCTGTTCATATACATTGCAAGACAACAGACTATAAAACATCCATTGGAAGTGAATTGGTGTGAACAATTCACATGTTTTTCTATTTTTGTATGCTCCGTCTGACATTAAAATAATGCAATTAAGACACATATTTATAGAATATATAAGTC